GGGGGGGAAATGTGGGGTGGGAGGGGGTGTTTGTGTGGGGTGAGCTCGCCCCACAGTGCCCTCAAACTGCTTCTCTCTCACCCACAGAAATCCTACGAGCACTTGGCCAAAATACGAGTAGCCAGAGAAGCGCCTCCAGAGTGCAACTGCCCACCAGGTAACAGGCACAGCTGGGAAAGATCTCTTCTCTGAGGCTTGTAACTCGTGTGTGTGTGTTTGGTACCCCGTCTTTTTTTCAAATCCAGGTGATACCTCTTCAAACAACAGCTGTACCTTGGGTGGAAAAGGTGTAAAGCCCAGAATCAGCTGTTTCCACTCTGGCGCTGATTGGAAGGAATGCTAGTTAAACCCCCCCGTTAGGCTGCATGATTCCAAACAGTAACACCCCCCCAAAAAATATATATATTCTATCTTAAATGAATGGGGTGGTCCTGAATCAAGGCATTGTGTGCCCAGCTTGGGAAGCAGAGCGAAAGTTTGCAGCAAAAATATCAAACGACGTACAACACGGATTGAAAAAGGCGGAGAGTCCGTTGCAAGTTGCCAGCTGTAGGTACAAGAGCTTTTTGGTGTTGTTTTTCTGTAGTCGTAGGGGAAAAGTGGTTTCCCCGGATGGGATGGCAGGTTTCATTACAGAGGGTTCCAAACCGTGGCTGTTTGTGCAACCAGTGATGTTGCTGGGCTTTGGGAAGGGGGCCTCCTAATACCGGGCTCAGTTGGTTGTGTGCAGCGTTTCCTCTGGTGTGCTGCTTTGGACAGTCTGATAACTGTCCCTCTTGTTTTAGCCTCCTAACCTCCTGCAATATATATGTACCCGAGTTCAAATAGCATCTTAAAAGTTAAGCAAATAGTGCCAGCATTGCAGAGGGTGCTGTAGGAATTCCAGCATCCTCTGTGTGAGGAAACACGCCAGGCACACACTTCGCTTTGCACATCCTGCCACTCTGTTTGGAAAATAAAAAACATCTCCTTTACAGGTGGAATATCGACTGCCCACCAGAGTTAGGCTGCCAATGTTTGCCAACAGAATGTGTGTGATAGTGCTGGGTACATGAGGAAGGAGTTCTTCTGGCTTGGATTTTAATTCCTGCCTCATCCCTCTGAAAGGGCTCCTGAATCTTAGTGTTTAAACTGGCTCCAATGGTTGGTAGAGTGTTTTGCTGGTGATAGAACTTGGGAGCGAAGTATTTACTGGCTGGTACAGGAGTTACCATGGCTAGCATGAAAAGGACAGTATATATAACTAGGACTGGTTTAAAAGAGGGCACAGAATGAATTGACTGTTTTGGTAGTTTTGGTAAGGAACGTTCGTTTCCTGCTGTTCTATATATAACTTTTTCCTTAAAGGCTAATATGAGCATACAGTGTTGATCTTATTTTTTTTTCCTGTTGCTTAACTGCAATAAATTACAAGATTCAAGTTTGTGCACTAAAAGGAGGGTTGCTTGTCACGTTGTATGCAAAGATCTATTCTGTAAGCCTGAAACGTTATCGAATTTGATGCCAAGCTCTCTCCCTTTTCCTTGTTTGAATTTATCTGTTTCAATGTTTTTGCTTGCTGTTTCCATACTAAATGTCAGTATCTACTGTTTCACAGTTGGTGTTACGTGCTGCTTTACTTCCCCACTACCACTAGAGCTCCACATCATACCAATTTTTACCTGACCTTTTTCTTAAAAAATATACTTTATCAAATAGATAACGAGCAGCAGAATATTCCTTGTATGCATTGAGAAATTCTTGCGAGATGAAAGCCAAAAATAGCAATCTGGGAAACACTTTCAAGGGAGCAAGATTCATAAGATTGGGAAAATTTATATGAATAATTATAAAAGAAAAAGAAAAAAAAATGCAGAGAGGACTAGCTGGTCTGGGGATTAGAAATGTGATACGGAGCTTTTCACCTCTGGGTAGCTATTTCAGTTTGGAAGCAAGTTTTGTAGCGGCTGAAAGATGTTGCCATGTGGTAGCCTGATTTTGGACAGCTTAAAATGAGTTGATGCTCTCATGGTTGTCGCCGGCGGACAGGTGTCTCCCTCAAAATGGCATTGTCTTGGGAGCCTTGGCTGAGTGGCACCGCTACCTGAGCAGCACTTCCTAACAGCAAGCCTTAGGCAGAGCAGGAGGGGATAGAGTCAATAAGTTGTTGTTTTTCTTCATTTGGTTCCCTTTGTTAGAATTCCTTTTTGACTGGACAGGACGGGCTTTTATTTTCATCCTTAACGCTGCTATTGCAAATTTGGACTACTGTGTTCAGAAAAGCATTTGGTTTAATAGGAAAAGTATCATGAAAATGCAGTGGTCTTTTTTTTCTGTTGCCTGCTATTTGTGAAGCCAAAGAGTAAATTGCCTCTTTTCCTTCCCCACATGATTCCATTTTGCTGCTTTATTCTCCTCGGCTCCTGCATTTCTTCCCTGGGTTTCTGTAATAATAAAATACTGTCTGTTAGAGATGACTTTGGAAAGCCTTCCTGGGACGGAGGTGATTTTTTGAAACATCCTGTGAGAAAAGGCTGCTGCCAAATGGCCACCAAGACCGTTTCCACCATCCTGCTCTTTAAAGAGAAATAAAGATTGTTTAAAAATAGGTTACATTGTTCTCTCCCAAAAGAAGAGAGGGAAATTCAATCTGCAGACAGGAGGGTGAGAATGCGGCCTCTGATTTGGGATTGAAGTTATGCAACTGGTGTAGATCTCATTAGCTCGAGATGTTCATCCCCTCGTGGCTCTCCATGGCAGGAACTTCCACGTTCAAAGGAAACTGGGCTGGAATGGCTTGGATACCAAAGGCAGCCAGATTCCCAACTGCTCCTCGTTTGCAGAGCTGTCCACATGTAACTCCTTTTAATTCACCAGGAGCCTTGAACTTTTTCTAGAGGGAAGAGTGGTCGCTTTTCTCCTTAAAACCTTTGCTTTCACTAGATGTGTTTTGGTTTTTTGTTTTTATTTTTTTCTAATTATTACTTTCTACTTTACAAAAAGAAACACAACGTGAGGAAACGTTAAGAGTTTTGATTTTAATTCTGCAGGACTAAAACCAGATACCGAAGATTTTGTAAATATTTTTAAAATGACAATAGCAGGCATTCTTTCTCCTCTTAAAGCAGAGTAATAAAGTTTGAAAAGTAAATGCGTGCTGACATTCCTCTTAAATTACCTCAGCTCTAACCAGAGTGCCAGCTTAAATCCCATGCTTGCAGCTAGCGCCGCGGTCACCGCCGGCAGTTGCCCTTCTGCACATAGGACTGGGGGGCAAATCGAGTGGCTAAAATCAATTTAAGCATCATCAGCTACTTTTACTTTGCCCGATTTATTATTTGTTGTAAATGAATGTTTCTCTGCTGTAAAAGATGACCAAAAAAAACCCCAAGTAGATGTGTAGGTAATTGTGCTCCCACAGCCATTTAAAGGAAGATTAAAATGTATGAAATAATCAACTTTTACGAGGAACAGTCAAGCACCGTGCTGGATGCTTCTTGCTAAGTGCCAGGAATTATTAGAATTACCTGTTGTTCAAAGAGTAACACATGCAGAAAGCACAGAGATACTCCCAATTCAACCAAGTTTTAAGAAAGCCTTAGGGTTTGGTGGTTTTTTTTGTAGGTTTGGGTTCTCTTCTTCCAGAAAGCATTCACGTGTTTACCTGGGACCTGTAGGCTTCACCAGAACTTAACCTATGCTTGTGTGGTTGAGTGAATGGGTCCTTTAGGTATCGTGAGGGTCACGCACCACCATGTTTCATTCTGTAAGTGGTCCTCAGAGCCCACTCCTGGAGTCGGGTGGTGTTGGCAGGAGCAGGAGTCAAGTCTATTTGTACAGAAAGTTCAGCCTTGGTCAGCAGGAAGGCTGGAAGGCTGTCATCTGTGGTTTTGCATGTCCCTTTAGGCCAATTTGGGAAGGAGTTTCTTTTTTCTTCTCTCTTGAGGAAGACTTTATAATGATATTTTTTTTATTTACAAATCCAACAGTATGATATGAGCAAGAATGCCTATATGCCATATGTTTCTTTAGTTCTGCATTGACAAAGGGTAGGTTGCATAACATAAGAGATGCTTTTTATCTCTGACTGCGATGATGCGCTGTATATGTGTATTCACTATAGCTTGCATGTAAAATGATGGGATTTGCAGGTTTGGGGTTTGGTTTTTTGGTTGGTTTTTTTTTGGTTGAGTTTGTTGTTTTTTCACTCCACAGAACATTAGCTAAACTTCCCTGATGGGTACCTGGCAAAGTTGATCAAACAAATTTGTTTTTCTTTTGTGCCAGAAGGCAGTGTTTGGTCCTTTGCTATTCCTCTTCTATCTTTCCTTTCAATAAACCTGCATTTTTTTTTCTTCCTCTTGTGTTCAGATACCTGTGGCTTCAAACCCTATCCAGACATGGACGCTGCCATCATTCTTCTTTCTTAGCCAGCCCTTTTGTGCTGGTTTTGCAATCATGTCATCTGGATTCTCTGTTCCAGTCCTAAAGAGCTTTATGGTTTGGCATTTGGAGCACCTCCTGTTTCACTTCACAATTTGCTGTGATCGGGTTATAAAGCTTGTTTTGGTATAGTTGTGTGTGTATAAACCTGTTGGCTCAGGAGATGAAATGTCTTAAGCCAAGGTGTTTTCGGTGGGGGGGGATACAGAATATTAGTTGGTCTTATTCTGGTTATAGCAATTCTAGTGGGAAAACTCTGTTCCCACTATTCCTGGCTACATCACCTTCCGTAAGGTGATGAATCTGCTGTGTGTGTTTTGGTAGCAGCATGGAGGGCAAAAATCAATGTATTTTCTTAGCATCCCAGTACTGGTTTTGTCTTCCTAAGCATCTAATGTTTGTTTTGACATGCAGTGAAAGTTCAATTTAGGCATTTTTTTTTTCCTATTTTGGTGTTTTCCGTAAGTACTGTTTCCTGCAGCATTTCAATCAGTGAGGCTGAGAGAATGGAGGAGAAATCAATTTGGGGAATTAAAAGAATTCTGAAATAGGTATCAGTGGAGTATTGCTTTTTTTATTTAAAAAATTATGATTCAGTTCTGTAAAGGCTGAAGAGGTAAAGAAAAGAGGAGCTGCCTTAAGTCTTCACCAGTAGAGAGACCCAAAAGAAAATACATATATATGGATACCTAACATATACAAATATATATAGAAAGCATGTTTTTCCCTGTAACT